AAATACAAAGAGAATCTGGCAGATAGCCAACTCTTACACGCAGAAGTGACATAGTTCAAGTTTTGCTATGTGGACAGGAAGTAACATCTGGTACTTTCTTGGAATTCTGGCAGTTTCAGCAAAGTCGGAAAGTCTTTGAGAATTTGAGAGCTGACAGCTCGGAACAGCGATAACTTAGAAGTGGGATGGCCAGTGCCTCATCCCATGGTCGTAATGCATCAAGGGGCTGTCAACCTTAGCGTCAGGTCAGCATCTGCCAGAATCACATAGCAACATGATTGGAAATTCAAAATTTAGGGAACCTCCTAGTTTGAAAACTTAACCAAGGGCAAAAGTGGAGGAGTGGATTTCTCCTGGAGTCTGGGGTTCGTGGACCTCAGGATTCAGAGAGAGTGCACTCCACCTCAGGGAGTCTTCATCCAACTTTCGGCAAAGTCGGACACAAAATTACGACTACGTCCCTTCCGTAAAAGTATTATAAGTAAAGTTCTAAATAAGTGTTACAAATAGATTCATTTGTGTTCAGTAAGCTGTAGGGAATTAAACGATTACTAAGTGCAACGGTCTAAAGAGGTGTGTGTCATTGTAGTGAAAGATTCTTCCTGCCCTACCTGAGCCAGACCCATATAAGATCCGGGATATGAACTCAGCTCTACAAATTACCGAACAGAACCCAGATACTCCTGTCTTTACCTACTTGTGAGACACCTAAGGGTGTACAGGAAGCGAGCTCTTGCCTACCAGCTCCAACAACCACAATTCTACTCCCTTCCCACCTAACTTCTCGACATCCACGAGAAGAGGGAGGACGGTGATAACTGGAGCACAACATAGGATCAAGGGAGGACGGTGATAAGGGCAACCAACATAAGGGCACAATGAAGTGAGCGGTTATAGAAAAGGTGGCGACCAGCGTGTGAAGCTTGAAGCCTCACTGACAAAAAGCGATTAGAATTCTTTATGGGATTGTACATATAATACTTGCAGGACCCATGGATTGATATTAGGATACTATTGAAATAGATCTTAAACAAATGGTATGTAATGGGGTGAACTGTGTTAAAAAAATTTAGTGGCAACAGCTTGTATTGGACTGAAAACTCCTTAAATACTAAATATTATGCCAATCATAGAACCACCTATACTTTATATGTCTAGAATAGTAATTATTTTTGTGACACTGCAGATTTATTGAGATTGTACACCAAAACGAAGTGTATCTAATAGACCTTATGTTCGTAACAAGTTCTAAGTTATCATTTCTATATGTTTTACTTTTTAACAGAGTAAGTTATTCCTCTTTTAATATGATAATAATTATATATTTTTTTTTCTGTTTCAGGTGATAGTGGAGTGCACCACTGTACTTAATTGTAACATAGTCTCAAGCATTACATGTGCCATGTTGCTTAGCATTAAACTTAGTATGGCATGAAACTTGCAGTGATATCTATGTTGTTATTGTTGTAGTAATGAAAGAACAAAGCTGAACAAAAGCTTTCTGTAGTTCTAATTATTTTCTGAGAGACAGAACTGTGTTAGTTGTAAGATTTTTTTAACTGGCTTATTTTCTGAATTTTCTTTCCTCATAATGGTTCCTTTTAAACAGGATGTTTAATTTGATTAGGCTTCTGAAGAGCCTGCTTGCTTCATTCCAGTGTTCTCAGTCTGATTTTTCAAGTATCCCCAGAAATAATTTTATTATGTCCTAATTTTACTTTCTCATTAACTAGTACTGAGCAATGTATTCTAACCCATGAACAGAAAGAACTGTGGGATATTTAGGACTTTTTTTATGTAAATTTCCTCTCTCTTAATATGAAACTTAACGAGAAAGTGATGTGGTTTTTAATACACTATTAATGAGTTGTCCACCTTTACCAGACATTTCTAACAGTAAGTAAAGACTTTCAAGATGGGGTAGTTTGTACATCCGGATATTCACAAATAGCCATGGAGTTCACATATTTGTAGTGTTGGTTGTTTATGTAAAAACAGGTATTTACTTTGATTTTTTATTCATGTGTCTAGTCCCTAATTATTGCAGTTTTATACACAGATGCAATGAATTATGAAGTACTGTAAAGGATTTAAAAAATATGTGTGTATTGAACCCAGCAACCAAATTCATTTCCATTTACATTGGAACCCATCTGAACAAAAGTTACATTCTTTGTAAGATGTCATCATTTGCCATTTTATGTTCCTTTATTTATATGATACTAGTTTGCTCTTGCTTTAAAAGCCTACATGTGTACCACATTTTATAGAGGGAGCTGAGTAGTGTTGTGTTCCTTCTGTACTTCCCTTAGGTTGATGAATAGACAAAACAATTCACAGAAGTATGGGGCATGGAGCAAATCCAATACCTATAACAGGAATTTATGTGTTCATTATTGATATTCATGTAAGTCAGGAATTGTGTAGATCATTCACATTCCAACTTAAGCAACAGATTCTATGCAATGGAGTCAAAGCACTTTATATGGAAGGGAAAAGATGAGACAAATTGATAATTAGAAAATGTCCAAATATTTATTATGTTTATTCAGATGGAAAATATGGGGGTACTTAAACCACAGACTTGAGATACACTGCATTAAAGATGAATATGGATTTGTAACATGAGGACTGGCATTACAATTTAATTTGAGTGTTCTGAATATTTATAATAAACAAAAATGTTAACATATGCAAATATTATAAGGCAATAATTGATGCAAAATAGATTTACAAACAGATTTTTGAACGTACAAAATGATGCATGTTCCCAAGTAATCATTTTTAGTTTGCTGAACAGTAATTCTAATATTCAGAACTCAAGGGTATAAGCTTTAGACCATATAAAGTCACAAATTCTGTGCATCTATAAATAATAATAAATAATTGCCACAGCCAAGTATTTACCTCTTCCACCAGTTAAAAAAATAAACATGTAACTTGTGTTTAAGTAGTAATGTACATGCTGAGTTAAACCTAATTCTGACATTCTTCCCATTATATTTCAGGCTGCAAGAAAACATTTAATGCTTTTATTATTGCCTTTTTATTAGATGAGCATCAAGACTTTCCTGTTTCTAGTCATAAGGAGGTAAAAATATAGAAAATTCAATACATTCCTAGAAAAATTTGTATAGTTTTGAGTGACAAGGGAAAACTAGATGTATGTGAAACAATTAAATGCTCCAATGAAAAGAGTCTCGGTGCAGAATTGGTAACATTGTTTCTGTGTGAATGTTCAATATTTGTGCCATTATAAACAGTATAGTTCATAGATATGTTGGTCTTTACAAAACGTGATGGAGTAATAAACATGTCGGGATTGTGCAGTGGTTACAAAGTCAACTCTAAATTCACAATTATATTTAAAAATAGTACTGAGTCCTTCACACCAGCATTTACATTGCATTATGAAGAATGTGTGCCTTATCATCTGTTCCGATCCTAACCTTTCTAAAGACAGTATACATAAAGAGATTTAGTCTCTAGGATGTAGAGTTTGAAATCTGTAGATAAGGAATAGGTAGTATGAATACAATTTTTTATTAATAATTTTAATTTTTGGTTTCTAGACACATTTTGATATAGGAAACCCTTCTCCAGAAATATTGTTTTTGAACATTTGAGGCATGTGGATAGATGTCAGTGGTGCTGGTTAAGAGTTATGTTCCTGCTTGATATTGTGTGTGTCTTTTATAATAGGTGTATGAGTACTTATTGTAACAAGGATGACAGACCATTTAAGGCATTGTGCCAAAACCTAATACAAAAAATATCGTTCTCACCTCACAAGTCTATGTGTAAATTAATGTTTTGTTAGTAATTTAGTTGCTTCTTTACATCAGAATACATCTTTGAAAGAAAATTTTGCATATCCAACAATTATTTTTGGTTTGCAACTTGTGGCACTCATGCCAGTGGCTCATCATCACTGAATTAGACAATGTATTACTGTATGTTTTATTTAGCCTTCAATATAATTTTTCTTATATGTATGATGTATTGCTATCCTTAAGCTTGATTTATTTTCCTTATGACATGAAACAATACCGACATCTGGTTCCCAAAAGAATAGTTATGAATCTGTGTGATTCCTCTCAATAAAAATGGCAAAGGATTTAGACAGATGATAGTAAAAATTACATGTACATCTCTTGGGCTTCAGTTGTTGCAGCAGTATGGAAATATGACACAGTAGGCATGAACTTGTATTCAAAACCCATCAGTGCTTCTCAAACTATTCTTGTGCTCTTCAGTGCAACATTACAGACTATAGCTTCTTTATGTTGTGAAAGCTAGCATGTGTTCTGAATACTCATAATGTTGGTATATCTTTTCTGCTGTAGATGTGAATTTTTAAATGACTCAGCATAATAAAACAAATTATATTTTTACATATCATTCCTGTATTATATAACATGCAGTACGGTAAAGCTTAGTAAAAAATGTCTTATGTAAGATCTAATCCTCCATGGGTAGTTCATAGTTTGAGAAGCTCTGCGCTTCTGTATCATATATATATATATATGTTTGATCAAGTTGATTTTAATCTGCCAGCAAGATAATGTTTAAAATGGCTAATTTTCATAATATTCACTATTAATATTATTTTTTATAATACAAACATTTATTCTGATTATCTGAAGTTGTGTCATGTAGAATGCAAATTTAATTTTGCAGTTTAGCAGTCTAATATTAACAGGACAAAACTGATTGACATGGAAACCATGTTTTTATGTGAAATTAAAGACATTAGGAGAAAATTAACATGTTGATAATCCTAGCACAAAAAGAGCCACTGAGAATTATAATCTAGCATTCTGTATATTAAAAAATGTTCTTGAAACAGGTGATAATAGCATACATATGTTTCTTTAGTTTATTTTACAAACTAAATTATCTCCACAGCACAATCATGATTTATAGAAGAAGGAAAAATTCTGTTCCGAACATTGTAAGTAGGCTCTCACTGTGGACCTAAATTTGCATCTACACATTGAACATCATGATGGTGATCTGCAACTACATAACCTCTGTTATTTTATGCCTGAAATGTCTTTGGGGATATGTCATCATCAAGTAGTGACAAAGATTGTTACAGCATTGTCATAAATTTACTATCTTCCATTTTCACTATACTTTTGATATTCATATGCCAGAGTGAAACTGAAGCATACTGGATTAATTCAGTCCAATAATGAACCATCTGTTATAACTTGTAATTGTAGTCAATAAGTGACTGATCCCACTCTACAGTTTCAGCTGTTCAGCCATCTGCAGGATGTCCATCAAATTAAAACAGTACAAAAATTTTTACTTATCATTATTTAATGCAGATACATTATCTGCTATGTGGGAATCCAGAAACTGACTCCTTTCAAAATTTTCTTAAATGATTTATATGCTAGCTTGATCAAGAGGTGTAAAGCCAACTAAACTATTAACAAAACAAATATTGTTGAAACTTTTTACTGACAACAACCTTGTTTTTGGTGACTTTTTGCAGGATGAATAATTTCTAATATAGCTGTGTGAGGTGAAACACGCTAATTAATTTTCATTTTCAGACTCATTTCACGAAAGATAGTATGAAAATGTTTAGTTACCAACATTAAGCTGTGAATTAGAATGTATTTAAGTCATAACAGAATTTCACTTCCATCAGTCAGCAAACTTAAGATAAGGTTTTCTTACATATATATTCCTGGTTCTGTTGTTTGTATTATAAAGAATACACAACTAACACTAAAACTTAATACTAGAAAAGTATTTAAATGCCTTTCAAGAGTGCATAAAATACATGAAATTGCTTCGAAATGAGAAGTACTTTATGTGTATATAACGAAGTTGTGTAGTTCCTGAATACAGCTATGATCTTTGCTGTATACTTTCCATCACTATGAGGTCAGCGATTAATTGGTCATGGTTGGCCATGTTATTGCCACAGTAACAGAGGAAAGAAGAGTTTTAACATATTATATTTATGAGAATTAGCAAAAACAACACACTTATTGTTCTATTATCCATGATTCCTTACTATATAGGAGAGCTTATATGAGTTGTAGGGTAGTATGGTGGCATTATTTACATATATAAATATGTTACCAATTTCAAGAAAGTTGGTAGTAATTCTTCAACATTAAAATTATGTTTACCAAAATCGTCTTACTGGAGATGTTATTGAACACAGGATTTTTCTTCCATAAAGATGGTATGTCATATCCCCAGAGACGTTTTAGAGTAAGTTTAATGTATATTATGCAATATTTTTCTTTCCCCATCACCTTTATCTGTGTAGTATCAATTCTGTCACAGTGGCACATGTACAAGATTGTACAGTGGTAATTATGGTGACTGCTGTCACCTAATTCATTAACAAATAATGTCTATAGGTAAGATTATGTAATGTGTAGTGATAAAGAGATGGAGACTGATAATTCTGCACCTGAACTATTTGGTAAGTATTGCTGTTGCTATAATATTACATGCCACTTATTTACCGTTAGATTTAGATAACCATTGCAGGATTGGTAGTTATGAATCGTGGAAGGATTTTGAAGAATGTAGCTCTTATTTCTGTAGCATATAATTTGTTTCTTGTCTTATTAAAGTTATCTCGAGTTTGGCAAATTTAGTCTGGAAAGTAGAGTGTTGGAATTATATCTGGATCTATTAGTGGAATGGGATAGATATGAAAAATTGAAAGAATATTTAAATTTGATGGGAATTTACTGAAGATGGCTGTAATGTCACATTAAAAAATGTTATAATATATGAAACTTTCACATAATCTTCTGAAGCAATCAGCTGCATTGGGTTGACTCAGGGACTACTGTTTTAGACACTTGCTATGTCACAATTACAGTCAATGTGGGCGACATTCCACATGTCCTGATGAGGATGACAGAGCAAGTCTCAAAACATTTCATTCAAAGATCGATCATTGGTACAAGACCACAAAATATAGAACTTTTCACAGAATATATTACGTGTATCATAAGCAATAGCAAAAGGACATACATTTCATAATATATATATATGCAACAAGCCACCATAAAATAAATGCTGTCAGTTATGTATACAATATCTGTAATTGAAATAAATCTACAAGAACATAAAACCAATTACAGAATTATATAATAAAACAATATACCACCTAAAAATCTCAATCTATGGTTTAAAACAATCTCTTTATACTTGTTTCTACTAAAACTCTTTCCCTTCAGTCAACAACTCTCAACAAGTACACTGTTTTCATGAGTTCCACACTCCTCCTCCTCAGTCACAATTATATATCCCTACTTATTTGCTCTGTAGACAATTGCACAGATGATGTAAACAACGTTCTGTTTATGGAACAGCAGCAATAAAATGCAAAAATCTAAATCTTTATTTCCAGCAATAATATACCTCTATGGTATAGAAGGAATTTGTGAGAAGAAATCTCTTTAAGGCTGCTCTAAATTTAGAAGTGTCATTTACGAGTTGCATAAGAGCCAAAGAAAGATGATTAAAAAGTTTAATAGGAGTATAACTAACTCCTTTCATATATATTGATAAATTTGCTACTGGAAAATTAAGATAAGTTATATTAGCCAGGGAAGCAATCATCTTAACTGCACATCCCCTCATGTGACTATCATGCATTAATGAAACTTCTGTGGGAACATCCCACATACTAACACGTGGTTTTGCCGGTCTAACAGACAGCACTCACTCCTAGTCAATATCACATTGCCACACTCTGTACATTCAATTTATACAATTTAATATATACAATTGTTACAGATTCACATGGTTGTCTTTTAGAACATTGACAATCCCACACTTCATGTTTTTGACACTTTAAATATGTTTCCTTGTTGTTAAGCAGTTTCAGTGTAGATTCCTTCACTAAATTACATAAATGAACTAATTTTCTGTTCACATTATTAATTTCATTGTCATTATCTTTCTTTGAAGAGTTAATTTGACCATTAATAATAGTTGGTTTATACTTTAGATTATGATCAATTGTTGGTTTATTCTGTTCTTTATGATGATCTAATATAGGTTGTTGAACAGCATTCTTTGGGTGATGGATATCCAGGGATTCATATCTTTCCATTATCCTTCCTTTTCACATACAGGTAATTGCTTGAAGAAACTTCCAAGTGTTTCCGGATGATTAGCTTTCATTCTTTCATCTTGGCAAACAGCAGTTTCTGATTGGTTAGCCAATATAGTATATCTGTTATTATTTTCTATGGGCTGATTTAATTGACATTTATTAAAATTTCTTGCCCTAAATTCGTTGTATGGTTGTGCGCTGGCCCATTCCCTAGGCGAAGTGATATCAATACTAGTTTCATACTCTAAAGTAGTGTCAGATGGCTTGTACGTCTTCTTTGTAGTAATATCATTTATCTCTATACAAGAGCTTAATTATTAATTGAGATGAACTTAATTCCTTACATAGTTCTTCTAATTGGCTCACTAAGTTCACACAATTTAAGCAGTTATATTCACTATTATCAACTGTATTATAACTTTGTTGTTGAGACTCCAATTCCCATGTTACATTACAGTCCGCCATATTGAAAGATTGTATATTAACATATAAAGACAGATGCTAAATATCATGTTAAGACTCTTAATTCTACAACAGACTCCTGCAAATGTTTTAACGCAGGAACCATAAACACATTCATTCCCAATAGGCTAATAGGTGTCATCACTGATGATAGACTCACTCACAGTCCAGCTGTAACATATACATAACAAATGAAAGAACAATTATAGAACATTATTCATTCAGCTGATGTGGGGAATGTTCCTCACACCAACCCCAATGATGATAGCAGAGCAAGGCTCCAAAACATTACTGCTCAACTGAGCCCTGATGTAGCTGATTCCCTGGAAAGATTCTAGTCCATTTAAAAATTAATTGTAAAATTTTCTGTTACTTTTGTTGAGAAAACTAAATCTCAGAATCAGCCAAATTATGAAAATATATGTAGTCCAATTTAACTGAAACTTAACAGATGTAAAACATTTTTTAGCAGATTCATATGTTAAATTCTCTGTCACATCTCTGTGTCACCAGACATTTGCATGGTTATAGAGAAAGGGCAGTCTTAATCTGGTTCATATTACGGCATTGCTTGAGGCATCCATATTGTGTATAGTAGATATAAGAACACTTAGAGATGAGAAAATCAATTGTCTATGTTAATGTGTATCTGAAAATACTCAGCCTGGAGTGATGACAAACAAAATAAGAAGTTTGCATATTTGAGTACTTTTCTACATTTTGTAACTTAAGATCCAAAGATGCCAACTTTTACCCTAGAAAATTGCTCAAGGCTGAATGTTTTTGCAGAATTTGGGGGTGAAGGGTTATTGGTGGAGGTTGGTGTAGCCACATATAACACATTTAAAGTGCTCATTCTCCAGTTGGCTCAGGGGTATCTGGAATGAATATTATCATAGCATATTGGCGTGTTCATTTGTTATGAAGCCTGTGTTCTGTAGTAGGGCAGAGTAAGAGTGGTATAAGAGTCACGGTGTAACACAGTACCTCTTGGTGCCATTCTAATGTCAAATACAGAGTTTGCAGATATGATTATATGTATTACGAGTTTTAACATTTTTAATTCTTATCTCTTAACCGACTGAAAGTGGTGAGAAATAAACTTATAAGTTATTTACAAAACCACATATGAATGCTGCATTAAAATATATATTTATTTTTCTTGCAAATGGTCTTAGGTACATATTGACATTTGTTATAACAGTGAGGATTGCATCAGATATGCCATACTGTCAAATTTTTCAGTTCATGGGAAATTTTGATTTCAGAATAGAATGAACTGGAATCTGCACAAAAATATAGTCACTAATTCTGTGTAATAAGATCTCTTCCATGGAACATGGAAATGTGGAAAAATATATCTTGTGGAGTGACTTCATGTAATTAAACAGGAGAACAAGTATATTAATTATAATCATGACAAGTGTTAAAGGAAAGTGAGACATTCACAAAACTGGAACTGTGCTAGAAAGATTCAAATATTTGGTCACCACTATGACAGCATCCAGAGTATGAGAGTGCATTCTCCAAATCAGATTTATTCTTGTGCATGTACTTAGAGATTCTGTTGACAGTTTGTACAAATTACTGCATGCAAAATGTAATAATGTATTTCTTAAGTCGCAAGGATATGGTGAAATGCATAGGTTTTATTGAAATTCAGCATGTTTTGTATGACAGCATGTAGACAGTAACTGACTGATCTTTTTGACGTCCATCATCTTGACATCAAGACATATTCCATAAAAATAGTCATCATTATTGTTTAATACTTACTTACTTACTTACTTACTCATGGAGCTGAGCCCTTCTGGCAGAGCCACCATTTCTGCAGCTACTCAAGAATTTCCCAGCGTTTTATGGAACCCGAAGGTTCAGTACGGTGTTCACAAGAGCCCTGCACTGGTCCCTATCCTGAGCCAGATCTATCCAATCCATACCATCCCATGCTCTCTCTCTCTAAGATCCATTCTAATATTTTCCACCCACCTATGCCTTGGTCTTCCTGTGGTCTCTTTTCTTCTGGCTTTCCCACCAATATCGTATACGCATTCTTTGTCTCCCCCGTTCGTGCTACATGACCTGCCCACCTCATCCTCCTTGTCTTGATCATTCTAATTATACTTGGGGAAGAGTACAAGTTATGAAACTCCTCATTATGCAGTTTTCTCCAACCTCCTGTCACTTCATCTCTTTTCAGTCGAAATATTCTCCTCAACACCCTTTTCTCAAACATCCTCAGTCTATGTTCCTCCCTTAATGTCAGAGACCAAGTTTCACACCCATACAGAACCACAGGCAAAATTAGAGTTTTGTGTATTCTAATTTTTATATTTTTGGACAACAGACGAGAAGACAAAAGGTTCTGGACTGAATGGTAGCAAGCATTACCCACGTTCAATCGCCTCTTAATTTCCTCCTGAATCAGGTTTCGATCTGTTATCATTGTTCCCAAATATCTGAACTGTGCCACATTTTCAAAACATCTGTTTCCTATCTTTATGTCATGATTTTGCCCTGCATTTTGGTTACGAGACAGTAACATATACTTAGTTTTCTCTGTGTTTACTTCTAGACCAACCTCTTTACTTGCATCAATTAAAGTTCGTGTGTTTTTCTTTATGATTTCTACATTATCACCCAGTAGATTCACATCATCGGCGTAGACCAACAGCTGATGTGTCCCGTTTAATTTCAGTCCCACATGATTTCCCTGGACCTTCCTAATTGCATATTCTAAGGCAAAGTTGAAAGGGAGTGGCGATAAAGCAGCTCCTTGTTTTAGACCATTCTGGATAGGAAATTTATCAGACAAATGTTTACCTACATGGATTTTACTATACGTTTCATTTAAACACATTTTACTCAACCTAACTAGTTTAATGGGTATCCCAAACTCTATTAGAATATTGTACAGTACTTCCCTCATAACTGAGTCATAGGCTTTCATGAAGTCTATGAATAACTGATGTACTGTCTCATCGTACTCCCATTTTTTCTCCAATATCTGATGAATGCAAAAGATCTGATCTGTAGTTGATCTGTTATGTTGAAACCCACACTGATGATCCCCAATAATTTCATCTATATATGGACTTAACCTTGAAAGAAGAATATTGGATAAAATTTTATATGAAGTTGATAGCAGTGATATCCCCCGATCATTACAAGTCAGTTTTATCACCATTCTTGTGAACTGGTACAATAATAAGAATCCTTCCACTGATCAGACAATTTTTCCTTAAGCCAAATAGAAGTAATTAGATTGTGGATCTTAGAACGTAATATTTTACTTCCTGCTTGAATAAGTTCTGCCGGAATTTGATTACTATCTGGTGATTTATACAGTTTCAATTTTGCAATAGCACTTTCAACCTCAAAAGGGCTAGGATCAGGTATTTAATACTATTATCAGAAACCTTTAGACTTCTGCTTATATACAGCATAACAGCAAAACAATTAGTATTTTTGTTATAATTGTGAAAAAATATACACACAAAAATTCATGACAGCATTTATATAGAAGTGATGAGTGAGTACAATTTGATGGAGATTGACATTCTGACAGCTTTGTCTTATGATTTGATTATGCATTAAGTTACAGTTTGCATCGATATATTTTTTAAACTGTCTAAATAATTTACTCTCACTCAGTGTACTATGTTTGTCATTTCTAATTCTGATACATCTACAAATGGAGTTTACTTGAAAATTTAAATATTTAATGTAGGAGGGAGTTGTTCTAATATGAATGTCATGGCTCTATTCTCATTTTCCAGTAAAGACTGAATATAGAGTGAATGCTCAAACATTTCTGAGGGCTAGGAGATATTGGCATAAATAGGTGGTTTTGATAAAAATTGCTTTTCACTTGTGGTTTCTCTCTCATTATTTATTATTGCTAGTTCTTATATACAAATTGAAAGTGAAAGTTTAGTTGTAATGGAATATTAAAAATTGTGTTTTATATTTGAGAATGCATACAAGAGCCAGTGAGTTTAAACAATCAGTTTTCAACAGGCTTATCTATTAGTCTATCCTGCCATACAGTAGTCATAACCCTGGGTGATATGATCCTAACAAATAATAAGTAAAGTACAGAGATACAAAAAGGGATTTTTCATAACATTCTTTTATAAAATTGTCAGTAGTCATTGCATTTTGCTTATTATGGTAATACATATCATAAATACTATGCACTCCCCATGGTTGTGTGTAAGTTGACTACCTTAAATTTTAAGAAATTTGTTTACCAGTAAGTATATGTTCAGGGGCTCTTCATCACTAAATTAAGATTCTAATTAAAAAAATATTAATATGAGAGAAACACATGCCAACCATGAATGAGAAATAGGATGTGAGAAACATTCATTAACTTCTTCTAAATAATATATACAAAATTAGTTCATACCTCACAGGAAAAACATTACATCTCCACTACAAAGATCTATGGGAAAACTGTTTAGGAAGACAAACATTGTTTACTGTGAGAACCATACAAAACAAATGCAGAATGCAAAGTTTTATTATGTCAAAGCAGATGGTACATTTATTAACAACTGAGCTTCAGAGGGTTAATATGATCACATATTTAGTGTTAGTGAAAGGTATCAGGAGTATTGTGCAAGTTTGTATTTATTCTTTGCATTCTCTTGAGTTTTATATAAACATGTATTAAATTTTAAAGCCAGTGCAATGACTACAGTATGGCATGGAGTGTGTCAAATCAGGGTTCAGTTCCTGAGAGGGACAAGATGTTTATCTCTTCTCCACAGAGACCATAGCAGCTCTGGTGCCCAACCAGCCTCCTATCCAGTGGATACCCTCTCCTTTGAGGATAGCAGCTGGGATATGGACCTATCTAGTGCTTTAAGAGTATTTGGCGCTATACCTCAATTTGTGAATATGTTTTCATGGTATAGTGTTTAATTAGACACAGAGATAGCTGTACTTTTATTGGATTTGAGATTCTTATGGAAGTGACTATGAAGAGTATGGTCTTCTGAGTTGTAATGCCTTGTAATTTAGAGGCAGCATAACATTTTGGAGGAAAATATGGCCTCATTTGTCAGGCTCAAAGAGTAAGCCAAGCAAGAAACCAGAAGAAGCAGGTGGCAAGCTAAGCTTAGCCAATCTTCAACCATAAGATGTAGATGACATGTTTCTCCAAAGCATTAGGTTTTCTATGAACTACAGACAGTACTCTTCCACATTACCTTTACTATTATTAACAAATTTTAATATATACCCTCTGGGCCATCTCTTACAATCACATATAACCTTGAATGCACCATGTCCACAGACTTAAGAAACATTCACAAAATTCGATTTTTATATCTTGAGTGTTTGATAGATATTGGAAATTGTATCTCTTCTGAATGGAAGTAACCATAATGCCTTCCTCAGTTAAGTCAGTAGTTTACCCAACTTTTTTTCCTACTTGAGTCAGCACAGGGAGAACAATTTTTATCATACAGAACATATATTTGCACTATGTGCATGTGAATGAATATTTTGGATACCTCTTCTGTGTGTACACTAATATTCATGTTTGTGTCTAAAAGCAAGCCGCAGTGTGGTGGTTTGTGATTTATAAATCAGAGCTTCAAGTGTACAGGAAGAAAAAGGCTTCAGGTATTTTGTATTTAGGACTTAGAAGAAGTCTTATATTTATCATTTTATAGTAATTTTGTGATATGGGAGTTGAAGCTTTCATGGCAACTATAATTGATATAGTCTCCTTGGCTGAACATTAGCGTGAATATGAAGTTAAAAGTCTGAGAAACTCGGTAGCCAAGAGCATACTCTGTGGGCAGAAATACAGTGTGACTGCATCACTTACATCAACCTTTGATGACAGACAGATACAGTATCTGAAGCACAGCTGATCACCTAAGAACACTTCACAATTTTGTGGTTTTATTTTAGCTTGTAAAAATGACAAAATTATCTGTTCCATATGAAAAATTCAGAAACAGTCAGTACCCAATGCTTTAAAAGTTGCCATGTCAGTTTTCTCTGTCAAGTTATGTACTAATAAGACCACCAGTATGAAGGTAAATTTCTATACTGAATATCCATAGCTGGAAACATGTTTCAGTACCTGCTTCTTGACTTACAAGATGAAGGCTTTACCCATATATGTCTGTTTATTATGCAGTGAAACCACCATTTCAAGTTTGTTTGGGGAGCAGTGGATTTGAACAGTAAACTATGGAAAATCTGAAATTCAAGAAATTTACTGACTTCTTGACTCTTCAGCCCTCAAAGCATTAGCTTTGTTCCTGATAGTTGCCCATTTTCTCTATTATTTGCCTTAGAAGAAATGTTTATATGGAGATTACTGATTTTGGATCACTGAAATTTAATTCTAAATAAGGGAAAACTTAACTCAGGAAAAATAAATGGAGGTTCCACTGTAGACAGTTATTGTCTGCGAGAAACTGAAAGTTCTGATGGTAGTGACTATGAAAAATAGTGTCTTCTAGGTTGTGAAACCATGTTGTCTAGTAGAAGTTTACTGATGTTTGGGAGGCCATTTCAGAGGAATGTAATGCCTCTATCCTCAAGATCGTTCTTCGACCCTGAAGATGGAGGCAGTATGTTCCTCTGAAACGGCAGTGAACTTCTATCAAATTACACAGTGTCACATATCAGAAGATGGTATTCTTCAGCTTCTGTCCAGTTTGATGTTCCATGATGTCAAGGGCAATTTATTTTCTTGTACTATTGAAAATTCATGAAGCAGTGTTTTATACATTCATTTAAGTTGCACTTGAAGCCTGAAGTAAGTGATATTGGTCATTTATAGCATTGTATGTGGTGTAGAAATAATAAGAATAAATATATAATTTAATAAATACATTGTTTTGTGTCTACTTTATAGGAACTTATGCTTCAATGATATGATTCTGTTCAGAGTTGTATGTCTTCTAAAATTGGGTTAAACTTTATTCTGCTGTGAGAATTCGTGATTCTGTTAAACTGCTTCTTCTTCTCATAAGTACACGTATGACACGCAGGCAGGCAGATACAGAGAGAAAGAAGAATGATCCCATAAGCCTACTTTAATTTTTCTTTTTAAAATTATTAAAGTAAATTGTGCCATTATATATATATGTATATACTGACAGTTTATGTTCCGTTGACATATGTAAAGTAATTCCTTTATACATAGTATTGGGTATACCTTCTGATGGCCAGTAGTGGCTGAAACATTCCTATTAAGCTAGTTAAACTTGATGGACTTTTACTACTGATTTATACATTGAGAGGTGTAACGGTTCAATATATCTCTGATAAATATATGTAACAAACAGATTTCTGTACTCGTAAATTAAAAGGCAATATGTAGCCTCTGTGCCAAGCACACATTTCACAATCCCAGCAACATTTCCTTTTCAGGCATACACGAGTGCTTTAAGTTAACTGCTCTGATCATCTGTCAGTCTCTACACATGAAACAGCTGAAGACCTGCTGTATGAATTTTTAATTATATGTTACATCTCAGAACAAGAAAATTTGTCAAGCCATTTCAGTTTTCTTTTAGAATGAACTTGTTGAATGATGACTTTACATGAAGACATACATGCAGCTCGTTGAATATTTGTTGGAGGCCATGGCATTCACACCAAAAATAAGCAAACAAATACAAAAATCCTCATGTAGATGTGCCATATATAAAAAATAATCCCATTCAACTAAAGCAATGAAAATTATACAGTTTGTTTGTCGTTATAAACTTCTGAGCCACTATTTCGAGCAGACTTCACTAGCACGTTTGCCATCAAGTCCATCACAACAGGTAAGAATGTTCCACGGAATCATGAATGTATTTTATACCTGTTACCAATGCATCTGTAATTCAAAATACATTATTGTGAATGAATTCAGGATATAGAGCACTGTGCCCGTACTAATGATCCTGATGTGCAGCAGATATGTGAAAAAGGTTTATTGCGAGAAATTGATCAACGTGAAAATACAGAACTCTTAGCATGCCAAAAAAAAATTGAAAGACTGTGATTACATCCGTGTCGGTTGTTTAGGGACAGCAGAATATTGTGTCCTAATGAGTATAAATGAGGTAATGTTGAACTTGGAAAAGTACTACCGAAACCGGAGTTGAAGAAGAGTTAGAAAACTTTGGAACACATGCTGCTGCTTAGTTGAAAAAAAAAAAGACCTCTTTCGAAAGCTTTGATTTTGCAACAGCAAATTCAATCACTGATAACTACATATTGAATTACCTGTAGGCCTACAACATCAGAATTTCTACATACTTCAAGTCAGAGTCATTATCTGCTATTTCCTCGCTTTTGTTCCCTTTCTCCTTCCACATGTAAATGGCTTCCTAGCTTCTAATTTTGTGACTTCAGGCCCCTGCTGCCAGGAAACTTCCCCAATGCAAATCATCCGTTAAATGAATATACTTTCATCTGGGTTTGGTTTCAGTTCGTATAAAGTACCTGGTAATAAAAAAAAAATTAGCTTCTGGTATATAACTGCGTGTAGCCCGTTGAAAGTTATGATTTTGTTGAGGTTTTGTGTTGATCTTCGTCGTGGCGTCTATTCTGCTGGCTTTGCTAATAGTATCTTCGATGCCTTTCTCTTTGTCACTTTCGTGCTACCTCCCCTGTCCATTTCATCCTCCTCGACTAGATCATTCTAATTATTCTTAGCGAAGAATACATGTTATGAAGCTCCTCAGTATGCATTTTTCTTCAATCTCCCGTCACTTCATCTCTCTTCGGTCTAAATATTCTCTTCAGCACCTTGTCCCCCTAATGTCAGGGACTAAGTTTCACACCAATACAGAATCACAGGAAAAATAATAGGTCTGTATATTCTAATTTTTATGCTTTTAGGCAGCAGACGAAAAAGACAAAACCTCGGACTGAATGTTGGCAAGCATTGCCCGAATTAAATCTTCTCTTAATATTATAATCAAATTTTGATTTCTTATTGTCCTTCACAAATATTTTAACTGTTCACATTTTCAAAACATCTGTTAGCTATCTTTATGTCCTAATTTTGTCCTGCATTCCTACTTCAAATTTCTTGAAAATGAGAGAGTTCGAGTAGAGACATCTACTAATAGTACAGAGAAGCAAGCGTACGTAATGGAAGCCTGCGATCTTCCATGATTGGTGGTCAATGACGCGGTGTGATTGAAGATAGAGCGGAAGAAGTATGTTTGCTATGTGCTATCATATGTTTCACGCAATAGGTATAGCGTATACTAAAGTTATTGGGTCGGTTCTGCGTGGCTAAAGGCGTTACGGAATTACGTATGGGTAACCATCTTGCCAAGTTTTGTGAATGTTTTGTCTCCTACGAAATGTCTTTTAATCATAAATCGTGAGATATTCGGTGTGTACCTCCGTCGAACGTCACATGAAACAGCTGATTCTGCACTGCCACTCATTCTGGGAAAACCAAGAAGCCGATCCACAATGCAAGTTTCCAAAATTATTTTGAATATAAATGAATTCTTTCAATGCTTGTGCTTCAGTGCAGAATATGGTCTGCCTTTTCACCGCCCTAACCAGGTGTAACCGGTCGCGAGTCAAGAACTGCCGTATACTACAGTCTAGTTGCAGAATCAGCATGGAATGCACCTACAAGTTTCACTAAACCACTAACAGGTAAGTATGCAAATGTGCAGCCATGAAAACGTTTTGCTTTAATTTAGGTGTTCCAAATAAGATCTAAAAGTTTGTGACGATGGTATATTGCTACAGGTATTATGTTTTTGGACATTATCCATCGTCTTGTCAATTTTTGGTCCGGAGATAGGGGCTATCTCTATCTATTGGACCCAAGTGAGTAGGTTTTACCCGAGGACAGGGACAGAATCCAGTCACGGTGTCAAATTCAACCCTCTGAAACACAAAAGCAAATGTTTGTGTTATGGGTTGTGACTCCATGTAAGTCTTGTAGGTGGATACCCATGTCTAGGAACAAGTAAGGGATGAAATGATTGGGGCAAAGTTATGGCCTGATTATATGGGCATTGTGACAGGTTATCAGAACCACTGGAGGGAGAGGAGATAGAGCACTGTTTGGCCCAGTAGGAAAGGTGAGTAGGAAATGCGAGAAAGTAGTTGTTTCCAGAGCCACTGCTGACATGAAAGTGGGAAAATATCACTTATTAAGACCAGGGAAAAGGAATGTTGCATTATTATGTCCCGTCATAATATCACTGGTAGGCCCACTAATAGCCTTGGAAACTCATGTGCCTCTACCCCATTATTAACCCAGCCAGTCTGTGGCAGTAGTATAAAATGTGCATTAATTAAGTTGATTCTAAAGAAACGGATCAAGTTTTCGAAACATCGTGTTTTCTGTTCTCTAGAATACCAGATGATTTAAAAAGTCCAAAAACCCAGTAATTCTGTGCAGTAACTAAGTTCCCCTATATTTCCTCGAAGATAGTGAAACACGTAGGGTGTACAGTTGTGTTTCTTGAGTTGTCACACATTTTGCAGGGTGATGACCAGGGCCCAGATTTTGATGACATGTCATCTTATTTTCCTTGTATCCTATTTGATGCCCATAAATATGTAAAATGTAACTTTTATAGGTCATTCTTTGGTAATTTTTTGTAATTTTTTCGTTTTGGGTGTAATTTTTCGGTATTTTTTTTTTTACTTTAAAGTTTTTTTTTGTCATTTTAGCCATTTTAGATAATTTTTCTTCATATGTGTTCAGAATTTTGAATAATATGCAAGTAAAGTGTTCTTTCTTTTTCTCCTGCCTCCACAAAGGCAGCCTGCAGCTGCACCCCACATACCTGCTACCACAGTATGCAATAATAAGTTGTAATAATGTCCCGTCCTTTCCGTTCGTTTTGCGGAAAGTGCTGACATTACATATAAAACATTTGAAGCTGGCAGCAGGGTACGACAGCGGTCACTGACACTGCAGCCCTTTCTGTTTGTTTTGCGGAAAGTGCTGACATTACATATCATAAAACATTTTAAGCTGGCAGCAGGGTATGACAACAGTCACTCACACTGCAGCCCTTTCCAAGTTCTGTGCAAAAGAATTTGTTTAGTTACAATTGCAAATCCACACAAGGTGGGGAATGTGGATTGATGCTACAATTTACTATTGCTATCATTTTCAGGCAGTGAAAAACATTGTATATTCAATGAAGACAAAAGATGCGAGTGCAATTGAAGCTCATGTTCTCATGCAGCAAAATGGAGGGACAGCTGGCCTTCATAAAGGCAGATTGCAGTTTCTTGATGGAAGGAATCAGATGCAGGAGAAAGGAGCAACCCTAGAAGAATCACTCGCTCTCATGAAAAAACTAGCCAGTGATTTGGAGAAAGTGTCAGGGGACATTGGCAAAATGGTGTCAAGAAAAATGAAAAATGTTCTAGATAAAAACTCAGGTTATGAAACATTATGCAGCATTTCTCGAATTCTGACAAGAGAGTCCTTCACCACTTTCCATATTGAAGAAGAACTTACTGCTCGTGATTTGGTACACTTGAAGTACGCTTGCATTGTGTCTGCATGAGTGGAAAGGAGTTTCTCCAAGTACAAGAATGTGCTGTCAGACAAAAGGTACTCACTCACCTTCGAGAATCTCCTCATGTTAACTGTCATCTATTGCAGCTCTGAATGAGGTGACAAATATTGGCATATATACCGTATATGTACATAGATAAGCATTCCAACATGGCAGTAAAAAAATTGTATTAAAACATTTAGCTTCAAATTCAGTCATATATTACTTAATTTTCAACATATGTAGGTCGTACCGAAAGTCATGAGCAACTTTTTTTTTGCATGCAACCTGGGAACAGCAGACAAAAGAGAGTATGGTGGTAGGTGGAACCAGGTGTTATGTTAACCTTGAGTGTCTTGTGACATCAATAGCTTGCATCACATGACCAGTATCACTCCTAACAAATGGCCGACAACGATATGTCGTTTCGCCAGTATGCTGTCATCGAATTTCTTGTGAAAGAGGAAATACCTGCTGCAGAAATTCACCAGAGACTTTAGCGTGCTTATGGAAATGTGTGCATGGGTGCGAGCAGTGTTTGAAGATGAGTGAACCATTTGCATTCTCCATCAAAATAGAAGGCAAAGACAGTGCCATCAGCTGCGAAGGTGACGGGCACAGTCATCTGGGATGCAGAGGGGTTTATTGTGGCCAAATTCCTGGAACCTGGGCAAACCATCAATGCTGCTCGTT